ACGGGTACCCATTTTTCAACTGAGTGAACTGAGACAATGTGGATCTAATTATCTTGTCCAAGGATACAACGCAAATGTGCCCACCTCGGGACCCTAACCATGTGCCTCCACCGGGGATCGAACCCGGGCCTTCAGCGTTACCCCCTTACCACTGCCCTACTGCACTAATGGCGGAACCTCTTTTGTGTCTCTTGAGTCATTTTGAGATATTTGCTGAATACATTTCTCTCGCGTGATAGGGAGCAAAGGTAATTTTTCGACGATAATTCGAAAACCGGGTATAAGTTGTGAATGAGTGAGTGTTGCGTAAGGCCGCAAATATTTTATAGTTACCTGTGCATAATCGAACCTGGAGCAGGCATACCATTGTCGGTCCACAGTCAATTTATTCCCGAACTGGGCCGCTCAATCCTCGTTACTTGGATCCTACTGGGCTCAAGAGAGATTCGAGGTACCCATCCAAGCAGCATTTAAATGTAATAATAGAAGCCAGTGATGTACGGATGGTGTAAATACTACAATAATCATCATTTTTGGCAATATTGGTTTTCTGTTGTTGGTTTGTTTTGGTTATATTTTTTGTTGGTTGTTTAACGCCGTACTCAGCAATGTTCTGGCTATATGGTGGCGGTCTGTAAATAATCGAGTCTGAACCAGACAATCCAGTGATCAGCAACATAAGCGTCGATCTACGGAACTGGGATACAACGACATGTGTCAACCAAGTCAGCAAGTCTTACCTCCCGATCCCGTCAGTCGCCTCTTATAACAAACGTGGGCTGCTGAAGACCAGTGCTACCCCGGATCTTCACGGGTTATTAACTTTCTAGTTAAGTTTCTACCATACCACCATGTCAGTGATAAACGTCTGATTCTTGCATCACTTAAACATTTCCTCTAACACTGAGATGTCACACCGTAATATACCTGAATTTATATTCCAAACCCCAATACACCCCCAGTAACCATAAATATTGCGTGGGGTGAGTGAGTATATACTCATTTGTAAACCTTTGCAAACAGCTTCAAATGAAATACATCAAATGAAAGCCTTTTCCCAGTGATTCCTAAACAAGTACTACAGTCCGTTTGGAAGGAGGGTAACGTTTCTTTTGGCGTTTTGTGTATGTCATACAGTCATTATCGTACATCGACATTACACGATATTCCATGGAAAAGAATTTGTGGTTCTTATCTATTCACACATACTACACGAATTTGGCATCGAACCCGAATCTTTGGGTTGTTGGGTAAAGGCATTAACGCTGTGTTATCCTCCTAAAATTAGGACGTGTCAGAATATCTTGAAGTTGGCTTTTTTCCAGCTTTGGAGGATTGACATTTAAAGAAAACTATACTAATTTGAACTTCATTCTGAATTGAAATTCACTTGAAGAATTTCCAGTGTTACAAATAAATGTGTTCATTAGTTGCCAGAAGTTCCACTAAACCTCACGTACAGTCTTCCGACTATCAGCGAGTTTGATAGATGCTGCCTTGGAAGTGTGTGATTAAAATCAATCGTGCACTGAGCTCATCTGGTATAACTTTTACTTCCAAGGTCGTTTCCTCATTTTTTCATTAATTAGAACGCTTCTCTTTCACCATCTTCCGATAAAAGGGGAAGTGTTTAACAAGATCGGGTCAACTGTACAAACAGGATACAGTCAAGTTGTGGTTGGGGATTGGCGAACCCGGACTGCTCTTGGAAATCTTCAGGAAGAAAACATCAATTGATGGATTACTACAGAAACTGCCGACTTTCACTTCAACGACATGGATCAATTTGATCATCGGTTTATCCTGTCAATTTCCTATTTTTGCGAGATGTGATTGTTTGATTGTTTGTTGTTTTACGCCGCACTCAGCAATATTCCTGCTACATGGCGGCGGTCTGTAAATACTTGAATCTGGACCAGACAATTCAGTGATCAACACCATGAGCATGGATGCTGTGGGATCGATGACATGTGTCAACAAAGTGATATTCCAGCTATATGGCGCCGGTCTGTAAATAACTGAGTCTGGATCAGACAAACCAATGATCAACAGCATGGGCATCGATCTGCGCAACTGGGAACCGATGACATGTGTCATCCAAGTCAGCGAGTCTGACCACCCGATCCCGTTAGTCGCATCTTACAAGCATGAGTTGCTGAAGACCAATTCTATTCTGGATCTTACGGTATACTCTTGCATATAACTGAAAGATATATTGTACTTGCTACTGTGGAAATCTGAACTCGAAGATATCACTTAATGCTACGATGAAAACTGCTGAAACTATTTAAATGATGGTCAAAGCTATATAACGTTACGACATTGAACCAGGTTCAATTTCCACAAGGATGCAAAGCGTGTAGCCCATGCTTGTTGCTGGATGACGATGATGAGCCGGAGATGGACGTGACAAAAATTGATAGAACAAAATCAGCGGCGAGGAACCAACTCGCTCACAGTTGTTTCGTGGCGACAGTGAGTGAGTTTAGTTTAATGTCGCTTTAATTTGTGTTGTAGTTTGGGTTTTTTTTTGTTCTTTATTATTCAGTAATCCAATATTACACTCTAGTGCATGGTTGTTATAGTTGTTTCACGAAGTGTCAGATAAACGTCGAGGGAAAGTCGATGTCGTCATTGACATTTATCACATTGTTTAATCTTGTAAGTACAGTTGGGTGCTGAGACAAAGTCCTCTTCTCTAATGCAGCAAACAAAAGTACAATCCGTTGGTTTTGTTCATCAGCAACAGTCAGCAATGGTTTTGTTTTATTATTTGAAAGGTTAGGTTTGCTGCCTGCTACTGGAATAATGTCATAGAACCAGGGTAATCGTTTTACTATCATTTCATTTATCTTCTCCGATAGCCGCAAACCAATATTGTTGTTTAAATCTCTAATCACATACCTATCATATAAGCAAATTGAAACGATTCTGTTGTAATGTGCAGCTGGCATAAATTAAACATGCAATATAAATGCCTTGTAAAAGAATATGCCTTCAGTTATTATTCCAGTTTTATTTAGAAAACGTATGCTGACCAATCGGTGCTGCCTTCTAGATATGAATAGATACCATCGTGATGTTCATGTGGTGATGATGACCATTGTCCCTGTCATAACCATATCAGCTGACCTCAGCATCCGGTTCCCGGAAGTCGGTTCACCAAGGTTGCTGACTAGCCGAGATGTAACATCAGTAGCCCGGATGGACCTCCAAGGGCAGGTAACTTTTAGGGATACGATGACATGTTTCAGTCATGTCAGCGAGTCAGCTGCCAAGGTAAGTCAATCTGCCCAACCTCATTGTGCAGTATGGGTTGGTAAAGACCATTTTTAACCAGGATCTTCATGGAATTCGAGAGAAGATGGCAAGTTTTCCACCTGAGGGCTTCTGGTGGGAACCGTCCTGAATAACAAATTATTATGTCGTTTTGGCTAGTGAGGTTGTTCTTATTTGTTTATGGGTACCAGATTAGATGAGATGAAAACGATAACGTAACTGTGTTTTCCATACGCCCAGGGAAGCTGGAAACGTACTCAAATCAATGACAGGCGCTCGAGAATGAATCTTTAGAAATTGTTGCATATTATATGTACATATATGTACACTAATGTACATGACATCAACATTATGCAATCTTGTCAAACGCAAACCATGTTTGGGTGTTGGGCTAGCCTAGTTGTTAAAGCGTTTGTAGTTCATAAGAGGTGAGGTGAAATTGGGTTTTACGTCGTGCTTGAGAATATTTCGCTCATATGACGACGTGCATGCGTGTGTTTGTGTATGTGCGGCTGCTTGTACTAGCCCAGACTGAAGCTGGTTTTATAGTGCTAGCCCACTGAGATACCATGCCGCAGTGAAGCATGAATACCCCACTCAGACACATTATACTCCCCGACTCCGAGCCGACCAGTCCTTGTTTTACCCATTAATGCCGAGCGCCAGGCAGGGACCAACAAGTACCATATTTTAACGTCTTTTGGTATGACGCGGTCGGGGATCGAACCCGCGACCTTCCGCTCTCCCGGCGGACGCTCTAACCACTACACCACAGAGCTGGTCCGTAGTTCATAAGAGCATAGTTAGATTCCCAATATGGGTACAATGTGTGATGCCTTTTTCTGATATACGCCGGAGAGATATTGCTGGACTATTGCTAAAAACGGCGTAAAACTCTGTTTATTCACTCACCAAAAGCATGTTTTTCCACTTCGGAAATGACATTGAAAAAGGTGTCTGAACTCTGAAAAAAGCATCAAATATACTCATGCCAATAATGGTTGTCACCCCCTTCAATTTTGTTATTGGAGAGGGGGTGTGGGTGTGGGTATGGGTGTGTGGGGTTGGGGTGGGGGAGTTGGTGACAACCATTATTGGCATGAGTATATATGAATTCATACGTGGTGAAGCGGACGTCAAATCTCCTGTTTGTATCAGGACATTATTGTTTTTCATAACATTGGACAAAACAATCGGAATCATGTAAAACCTGTCAAATACTGTCCTTTTCAATGCTTTAATGTATCGTAAAGCATCGAGATGACCTCGTGGCACAAGCGAAATTATGAAAAAACGAACCAACAAGACAAGCTTAATACAACCTGTAGTCCACGACAAACGCGGTGAAAGGGAAACTACTCTGCTTCGGCATTTAAGTTTCTTCCAACTAAAGCTTCCCTGTCAGAAAAGCCGTTCAATCCTTGTGAATAATTATTTACATGCTTTTAATGTTAAATGAAGTTTATAACTTGACAAGTTGGTAACAATTCTCAATAAACAGAAGCGACAACATTCGTTCCGTAATGGTGGGATTTTACGTTTCAGAATATGTCATGTGCATATGTTTTCAATCATTATAAAACAGTGATGCTACAAGGAGTTCACGAGTAGGTGAGCTATCTTATACATGTGTATAAAAACGTTCTAATTTATTTAGCTAATATAACGTCATATGCCACTGATCAGTGTCACAAAGAAAGAAAACTAACAAAACAATTGGTTCAGAAATCCATCAACAACGGGACAGGTAATGGGCACATTTTCAACTTTGCCTCTGGCACTTTGTCACATCTGTTGAACTGCTCGCATTCATCAAATGTATTACTAACATGGTTCATCATTTTAGGCGGTAAGTCTTTATGTTTGGCTGCAAGCACTGTCAGCCATTTCGGAACGCAGTGTTCGGAACCGAGGCGATGTATGCTCAAAATGATGACATTGCATACCACAGTGAGGAAGCTGATAAAGCTTTGTAAGGATGCCAGCAACACTGAAGCATGAACATTTGTTGTGATATGCAGTTACGTTATATGAGCAAATAATGACAAGTAATGCGACATGGAAGCAGACATTGAAAATCTCTCCTTGGCAATTTTACTGACAATAATTATAAGAGATTCTGTACATTTTTTTTGCGTAAGTGAAAAGTAAATTGAGAAATATATACCAAGTATATCTGGTATACAAGAAAACCTCGTAAGCCCGTAAAATAACTGCAAGTGAAGTAACGTGGTGGTCTGATTAATTGAAATAATCGAAGACTGGTCGCAAAGACTAAACGACCAAGCAATCGATCATGTTTTCTCATAATCGAAAACAAACAATTTTGGAACACTTGTTTGCAATAACAATATATTTCACAAGGTTGGTTTTGTCTGTTACATTTCATAAGCACTACAAGCTCGAGCCTTGTTATGACTGAATTTATCTTAATGACTCCAAGGAAATTTATGTTGCTTTAAAGCTGTGGAATTTGTAAATGCATTTTGTGCAATTTGCAAAAAGAACCAAAAAAACCCCGAAAGAACTACATGTTGTTGTTTTTTCTATATATTTGTGCATTAACAAACATAAACAGGAGAAATAAATAAATGACGCTAACCAATTATTTTCGATGATTGATCGGTTGTAATGAACCAATCATCAATTCTGAGATTTAAGCAATTCCCAACACTAAAGTGAACCCTTCTGAAGCGCTCATTAAATCTCCAACAAATCGTCATCAACCGCTTTTTCCGATTTTGTGGGACGGCTGACGATTTCACTGAGCTGTATACCACTACCAGACCGAAAACACACTCACTTGCCTTTACAGTTTCCAGCGTTAATGTAAACTTTCGCCCCTTGCTGTTGTGACTGGATAATTAAACCCAAAGGGGAATTTTTTCAAATGAGCCAATGTACTTATTTTTTGATCATGCTGGCAATCACATGTAGGATAGCTGATTAGAGTATTGCCACAATGTGTGAAGCCCATTTCTGGTGTCCCCCGTCGTGATATTGCTGTAACATTGCTAAAAGCGGCATAAAACCAAACTCACTCACTCACTGATTAGAGTAACGGGTAATGTGATGGTGATGATGGACAGCGGGTACTTCGTCACAGGTAAAATGGGATCTAATATCGTCCGGTAATACTTCACACTTCAGTAACAGTCAGACAGCTAACTCCTTCATGATGAAGGACATATTTACATCATTGCACATACATTTGTCCGATACATTTCCCTATTTCAACATGAACAAATGACTCGAGTGTGTTTGTGGTGGGTGTCTGTGGAATGAGCTGCATGTCCTCTATTTGCATGATATATTTGGAATCGTACATCTACTCATTGTTATTATTGAAATGGTCATGTCGAGAATGCGTCGTATGCTACTGGGCCAGAACTCTGTATGATCTCTAATAGTGGGAAACGAAACGGCTGCTCTGTACCCTTGAGACGCAAATTGTAGTGTTGGTATTTTGGTATTAATTTCGTATACGAATATCCTTAGAGGCAATCAATATATATGCAGTTGTTGAGATACGTTTCGGTAATGCCTGATAAGTGGACTGTTCACTAATTTGACTAATATATGGAAGTATTCTGTTAGGAGGATTGTTTTAAATGCTGATTTATTTACTGCATCCCATCTATTAGAATACGTGTATAACTTAGTTATGTGTTTTCAGATTTGCGAGTCTTATTGAGTATTTGATGCCGTGGAATTTCATTTTGAACCAACATCATTAAATTTATCAGATTTCATATGTTGATATTTCCGTGCATGAAATGCGAAATAAGGCCTGCAAATAAAATACGTAATCAGTACGTTCCAGCTGAATTTTTACATAATTGAGACACAGACATGACGTCACTCTAGAAGCATAAATTAAATGCAATGTCTTTTTCCTTAGAGCTGAAAAGAAACAAGTGTTCGTTCCCAGAGGATGCGTACGTGGTCTAATTACGTTAACAACGTTTTTTAAACCATCAGTTTTCAGGCACATGCACATTTCGATAAAGTAGATATGTCTTTACCATGCTGAGGGTGAATTAAAATTAAGAAAAAATATCATTCTGTCAAAAATCTTTCGAAATGCAAACTTTACAAAACTGGTGTCATACACTGGTATATCTCTGCCGAAAAGTGTTTGCAAAGGGTGTAATATCATAATTTCTTATTTTGATATCGAGCAGATTTTCAAATCTCGACACTGTTTGGTTTTTGTATTGAAATTATTGTCCATGCCAGCAGCAGTGATTAGGCTCGTTGACTGTGTTGATGCTGGTCACGGTATCAAACTTCCGACTGACTGCTGACATATACATTGAATTTTGATAGCACCGACAAACTACTAACAAACAAACCAAACATCCGTGACACAAACTCTCAGTGAAATTACCATTTTGATAAGAGCGGTACATTTGAATTATCGATCGCCAGCTGTATAAATCTGACTGATGACTACACTTAAGACTCGCTACACTTTTATGTTATTATACCCTACTGTGCCATAATGATGAATGTTCATAGAAACCATCAGTGATCCAAGCATCATTTGTCTACACTCTTCCATACTTTAGGCTGTATTTTGTTGACATTACTCTGGTATTGTCCTCATATAAATAATGGAAATGTGGAGTGAGAAACGGGGGAGCAGCATCAATATTTATAACTACCAGTACTGCCTAAAGAAAACAGTTGGGTACTTCCACCAGGATGACCACAAACAATGGTGAATCAGGGGATGGACATACGTATACCAAACATGAATTTTGTATGAGAAGTTTTTCCAGCATTCATATCCAGCAAATGGCGCTATATACACAGGAGAATTATACACAAGTTTACTATGACAAAACAAACTTTACGCCGCTTTTAGCATTATTCCAGCAATATCACGGTGAGGGACACCAGAAATGGGCTTCACACATTGTACCCGTGTGGGGAATCGAACCCGGGCATTCGGCGTGACGAACGAACGCTTTAACCATTAGGCTACCCCGCCGCCCCAGAAACTCTTAAGTGTGATCCCCAATGAATGTGCAATGACAGTATATTTTCATATATAATAATAATAATACAGTGTATGAATAATGAATGAGATATCTCAACATGAACTGTAATGAAAACATCAACACTTCAACAATGATGTCCAAGCACTTAAAAAAGATTCGGTTTGTCCTAGTAGCCGGGTGAAGTACATGTGGTTGTGAACACGGGAAAGACCATGACAATTCATCAGAAGCAGCTGGCGTTCTATATCTGACCAGGCCATACACCTGGAGTGGGCTCGATTGGGCATTCCACTGAGAGCAGTCAGCTGAGCTTTCTAAATTAACCCACATACAAACCTGTGTTATTTTTAAGCCGATAACACTTACATCACCGAAACTAATTGTGATATCTATTCAGTATTGGTAGATCACGTGTTTTTTTTATCGAAGCGAAATACAATTTACATGCAAAACGTTTAGAATACATTTGTGTTGTAACAACAACAGTTTTGACTTAACTGCATGTTACGCTGGAGTGTTCAAACAGAAAGCAGGTACTGAGATCTGTTGATAGTAATCAAAGGTATTGCAATGACCAAAACTTGAATCTATTGTTAGTTTGCCCAAGATTGCTATCAGCAGGACGAATGAAGAAAGGTTATCTCAATTTTTAAATGGATAAAGTTACCAAAGTTTCATTTTCTGAATTTGTGCTGAATATTAAACTAGCAAAGACGGTCAGTATATATGATTATGTGATCTAAGATCAAAGCGAATCAATGTGTTCCTAAATATATATACAATGCAACAACTATTGTAATAGTTCTCAAATGGCATTAATTCTTAAAAGTGTCAGTCAAGAAAGACATAAGATAAAACAAGAAAAAATTGTGTCCAGGGACACGGATGCCCCCGCTGCTGTAGGAAGAGTTCACACATTCAGGGTCCCACTGAAGTACTTCAAAACACTAAAAACAATGTGTTGAGGGGTTAGATAACACAACCTATTATCATATAAAGATCAATAATTGAACAAAATTCACGAACAAGTTCAATAAACATCTATGCAACTATGAGATGCACACCTTTCGAGTTCCAATGAAACACACATATAAGCTTAATCAATTCTGTTGAGCAGTTTTTGTGAAGAAGTGGATAGGCCTAAGCCCCTATTTCACTATCATCAGAGAGAAATTCAACAACATTTATCTAAGTTCAAATGTCTCTAAACATACAAAAAAAAATATAAAATACAAATACAAAATATGAGATGCACACCTTTAGAGTCTCTATAAAAGACTTATGTAAGCTAAATGAGTTTTGTGCAGTGTTTTTTGAGGAGAAGTGGATAAAGTACACCCCTTGTTGTATGGGTTGAACAGGATGAATAGAACCAAATTCAACTAAGTTCAAACATCTGTAGAAGTGACAAAATTAAGAAATTGGATAAACAAGGTATGAGATGCACACCTTGAGAGTTCCAATGAAACACACGTAGAAGCTCAATCAATTCTGTTGAGCAGCTTTTGTGGAGAAGTGGAGAGACTTTATCCCCTATAACACTATATTCAGAGAGAAATTCAACAAAATTTATCTAAGTTCAAACGACATTACAATTGGAAAAATAAATAAAATACAAAATCAAAATATGTGATGCACGTCTTTAGAGTCCCTATAAAGCACATGTCTAATCTAAATGAATTCCATAATGTAGTTTTTGAGGAGAAGTGGATAACGTACACCCCCTGTTGGATGGAACGAACACTGGCCGAATAGAACAAAATTCAACTAAGTTCAAACATCTGTAAAAGTGACAAAATTAAGAAATTGCAGACAAAAAATATGAAATGCACACCTTTAGAGTCTCTACAAAAGACATGTAGAAGTTTATTCAATTCTGTTGAGTAGTTTTTGTGGAGAAGTGGATAGACTTCATCCCCTATTACACCTTCATCATAGAGAAATTCAGCAAAATGTACCTAAGTTCAAATGTCTCTAAACTTACAAAATAAACCAATAAAATAAAAAAACAAAATATGAGATGCACACCATTAGAGTCCAAGAAAGCCCATGTATAAGTTCATTTAATTCCACAGAGCGGTTATGGTGGAGAAGTGGATAGAATACATTCCCTGTTTCGTACGGACGGACGGACGGACAGACACCGAGGGTAACCCTATATGCCCCTGCCATATATGGCGGGGGCATAATTACATTCCACGCAACTATGAAAACATCATTGAGCCAAATATTACAGTCACAAGTGTCACAGCAAATAGAAAAACAACAAAACATATTTTGTTTAGCAGTCCAGCAACAGCAGGCCAGGTAATAGGCACATTTTCACCTTTGCCTCTAGTACTCCTTGCACTTCTGTTGAACAGCTCGCATTCCTCATTACCTTTAACATGGTTCATCATTTCTGGTGGTAAGTCTTTATGTTTGGCTGCAAGCACTGTCAGACATTTCGGAACGCAATGTTCGGGTCCGAGGCGATGTACGCTCAAAATGATGACATTGCATACCACAGTGAGGAAGCTGATAAAGCTTTGTAAGGATGCCAGCAACACTGAAACACAAACGTCTATATGCAGTTCATGAATACATCATCCTTCTCTCCGAAGCAGTTTCAATGACCGCAATTTTCGTGGATTCATTGCAGATAAGAATAATTAAAAGGTCTAATATAATCAAAGGAGACCATTATTTCTGGGTCTTTTCCTGGGAGGTATACTAAAGAGTGCATACGCGAGTGAGTGAGTTTAGTTTCACGTCGCTTTCACCAATATTCCAGCAATATCACGGCGGGAAACACCAGAAATGGACTTCAGTGCATAAGCAACAGACTACTATGAATTACAGATGAGCACAGAGCGCTGACATTTTAGTGTTTCGAAGAAGAACCTTGACTGAAGTGAACTATTGTTCTGGCCACCTTTCCGGAAATCAACTTGAGAGCTAACACGACCGTAATTCTTATAACAAATTAAGATAGAGGATAGAAATTTACGTACCATATAGCGAGACAGTGTCGGAAAGCTTTGGCAACGTCTCGTAGATGGCTGACATGAATACAAAGACTGACAGCAGGGATGTGATGGCCAGGGTGGTCTTCTCCCCGCTGTCTGCAGGAACCAGGAAACTAAGAGGACTCAGCAAGGGAAATACCAGGAGCGGTGACACCAGACACAGCCAGTAGAAAGTTGTCCTCCGCTTCAGAACAAAGAAGAATTGTAACCCCTCGAGCTTCTCATTTTCAAGAGAATTCACTTCGTTCAACGTCATGTTGACCCAAGCCTTGATCATTTGAAACTCTCCACTTTCAGCATACAAATCCAGAGAAACACCCTTTGTCGACGACGTACGTAGGTACAAGTGTGATGTCATCCACGTAATCATGTTGATGGAGCATACTTGTGTGTCAAAGGGGAAGTATGTAATGTCGATTTTGCAGGTTGTTGAAGACACGTACCCTGGCTCCCAAATGACAGTGCCGTTAGATTTGATAATCACCAAGTTTTTGCCGTCTCCAAAACGCTTCTTCACACGAACACTGTAACACCAAACACCATACTTCATATAAAGTATTATTGTAAGAATGATATTATGTATGTTTTATGAATCCCCGTCCAATAGTGATGGTATCATTTGTTGCGAAAGGATTTTGCATACCCGCCATTTGCGCCAACATGAATGTTGAGTTAGTGAGTGAGTGAGGGGAAATTACAAGGTATTATGCTGTCACTGATGTGTCAAATCTTGACACATCGTCCATGTGTCTTCTCCTAAAACGAATTGAAAGCTTTGTAAACGTATTTGTAATATATGCTAAAATTTGGTTTAGATTCTCAGTAAAGTAAATTTTCTAGTACCTTCGAGGTGAAGTCCCATCCGGGATTAGTACCAACCTATACTGTTTCAGTGTTACTGACATTTTGTGTCCACACAAAATGAATCCTGTCAGAGTTAGGCACCTAATTACCAGCACATAATGTCAGCTATCTAACGCACTCAGCCACTGCGTCTTCAACAAAAAATGAAGTCGGACAACTGGTAGTAGTTTAGATCACGAAGTTTGTGTACTCTAAAGGGTAAATGACATTGTGTATTCGTTCGCAAAAGCATTTAATGTCGAAATCCTGTGGTAACCCAAAAGTCCTTTGTAATTATACAAATTACCATTGGTATATTATATGTTGATAATATTCCAGATACATGGGACCCTTCCTTACAAGCGGACTGTAAGCGGATTCGTTTCGCAACGTTTCGCAAGGTTAAGTTCGTCCTCATTTTTCGTTCTCTCTGTGGTAAACTGCACTTGCATAGTTTGCACAACAATGTCTAAGGGGCACCATTGTTAATTCAAGAGTCATGTCTCTTGCTCGAGGTAGAATCCTATCTGTTAAGAAGCATTTTGTTCATGAATCAGCATGTCGACAGTTTTGCTTTATGGGTTCAATGCTTCACTATATTTTAACGTCAATTGATTTTCAAAAATATACGGAGTTATTGAAATCATAAGAACAACAACATTGCTACTCACTCATTGTCAATAATATAATCTGGTGTCCATATCATGTTTTCGGTGACAGTGAAGTATTTCACAGACCCATAGTCCTCGGGTTTCCACACCAGAAACTCATCCGTCCAGGTCTGGGTGGAAAATTGTTGAAATATATATATATCATTATGTTATTAATACTTCATAGAGAAAGCTTTTGTTGAAGAGATTACACGGTATCATAGACACAAGCTTAAGTCAATATAACCTGTTTGGCGTCGGTGGTAGGACAATAGGCCAGACAAAACACCCCTAGGCTAAATGCCCCCATGACAAAAAAACCTCAATGGGTAGAAAAAAAGGTCCTCAATGAAAATATGTAATATAATACCAACAAATCTTTTTGCAGCACATGAATTTATTCTCACATGAAAATATAATTTAAATATAATATAATATAAGTTTTAACATTTAAAAGAAAAACTTAATAAACACCATGCTCACTGACATGCCACAATGAGTACCTGACCAACAAAATCAAACATAAGAGGAAGTGACCAATTTAAGCCGATTCTCTGAAACAACATTTAGCAGACCAAAAATAACAACATCGTCACTGAGGAGCCTGGGTGCATATGGTTTTCACATATGCTGCTTACCTGTAACAACTTTTCAGCAGTGGGAGAAATTGCTTAGAAAACATCATGTTCTCTCACCTGTCAAATCAAAATCAACTCAAAGGGTTGTTTATCTTATGGGTGGAATTTTGCAAGGGCTTTTTGTCATGGGGGCATTTGGCCTAGGTTTGTTTGGTTTTTTGTTCGAAGGCATTTTGTCCCTGTGGGCTTATTGTCTGCCCACCTTGGCGTAGACACGTAAGTAAAATATACGGGTTTGTGGCAAATATCAAGAAATATAAATGTTATAGTGCTTAAAGGAGAATGCTAGACAATTGCAATACGTTGCTGGGTGAAAGATAAAGTCATCAGAAACATGTACCCCAATTTTTATTTCAAAAATAGGGTTTATTATGTTTTATCGCGAAAACAGTTTCTGTTATCTGAGCTTCGGCCATTATGCATATTCCGCTGGAACTAACGGGACCTTTCAGCTCGTGACGTCATATGTGACTAGCGTCCGCCATATTGCCAAATTACAAGCGCTACAGTAATACACATCGTGTTGTTTCTGTCGTTTTGTAAATGGTACGATGGTGTATTCCGTTGCCTGGGGATGCACGGAACCATCAAACAATGGAAAGAGCCACCATTTCTTCCGTTTTCCAAGTAACGAGACAGATTTAGGCAGGAGAAATGCTCCGATCATTCCGAGTCGGACGCATATGAAAGAGACATGCACACATGGGCATAGGCGGATCCATAGCGGGTGTGCAGGGTGCGAACCCTCCTTTGTTCTGAAAGTTTGTTCAATGACCATTGAAACTCGGGTGAAAATGAAGTGTGCACCCCAATTTTTTTTTCAATAGTGTGCCCCCTTTCTCAAAGAGCTGCATCCGCCTCTGCATGGGGTATGGAAATCTCAAAGCTAGGCTGACGAAGGAAGAGGTACCCACGAGATTCATTTATACTCAATCATTCCCTGTTACAACTTACTGTCAGTGGTATTTTTAACATCAATTAAATCAAGTCCGATTGCCAGTCGAATTGCCCCCCTGCTACAAATTGCCCCAGCAGATTTGGTCAAATTGCCCCAGGGTAGTCAGAATGCCCCAATTTATTTACAATGATTAAATATAGGCCATAAATGCATAGTTTTGTCAACTTTGATATTAAGTTCTTCATATAAAAGTATATACATAGTTATGAGTTTACTAATGGAACATTTATCAGAAATATTACTTCCTAATAACTTTCATATGAACATACTATCAAAGTTGACAAAAACATTTACGGCATATATTTAATCATTTTTAAATAAATCTGACCAAATCAGAATGAATGACCAAATTTGCTGGGGCATTTTGTAGCTGGGACAGTTCGACTGGTACCCATGAGATATGTATTATCAAAATCGGTAAGAGATTTCACATGAGCTTGAAAATGTTTCGCTCTTACGTTCTCTTCGGTTTGGAGCCCTAAATGCTGCAGTCTGCCCGAAACATTGCCGAATACAATGGAAAACCATGAAGTACTTGTTGCTTTCATTGTTTTCCATTTTGTCCTATACGCACGTTGGCATCAGACACACAATTTGTCAGTAGTGTGTGCGGTGAAAGTTGTTCTGTGTTCTCATTGGCTGACAGGATGTCATTCGAAGGATATAACCGAGTACCAATACTATTTCCATAACCAAACAATGGGGAAACATACGTTGTCCTGACTAGTATTATAAAATTCACCAGTTTTCGGGGAATAACTTATCTGCGTCGCGAATATTATCTCTGCTCGACCAGGCGAGATCTTGTATGGAGACTTGATACGTTAGTAATGAGAACTAGGATCCTAAATTTTGTCAACAAAATAATTTCAGTGTAATTTTTGTATCAGATAATTTCTATTTTCCCCCGTGTAAAGCATAATTATAGTGTTTGTAAATACCAGCCACCCTACAGTCACCCATTTGACACAAAAGGAACTGCAATCACATTTTTTTTAAAGTTCTTAGGGACTGGTCATATATTTATAGGGGGTGGGTTTGCTGGTTGGAACTGTATCACATTTTGCTGACAAATAGTATTCTTGTTAAATGATATGGTCTATTTTAAAATTTATTTTGACCTCAAGCAGTGCCTCCGTTTCGCTTGATTCTTCTTCTTCATCTTCACTGGAAGATTGTCTTGCAAGATGTAAAATCCAATGGTATTGATACGGTCTAACATCCATTTCAGAAATGATATCAGGAACATCTTTTACTGCTTCAGAATCCGTGGACACTGTTAAGTTGTGAGGTAAACTCAAAGAGGAAGCCATCAGCAACAGGCACATATGACGTCATGCCACGTTACACCCCCTCTGCTCATTAACTGTCGGTTGTTTCCGTAAAAGGCGGAAATACGAGTACGTTTTTTTGTGTTTTTATTGCTATTTTACAAACTTTTTGTTCAATTTTAATCACGGAAGGTAACTTTTAGAATATCCTTTGCAATATATCCAAAGTTTTGTTTTCGTTCGTATTCTCCTTTAATGACAGACACACATGTCGCACCGCAGCCCCCGAACTGCGTAATGGTAAGTGTGACGTGAAGAAATTGATCCATAACTCGTTAAGATTCTATACAATTTATCTGACAGGATATTATAAAAATTCTACTCACAATGGTGAAAAATCCCAGCGACTTCATAGTTTCTGTTTTCATGTCCTGCAAGAAACAATCATAAAATATACAATTTTCAACTACAGAGTGAAGTGTCAATATGATCATACGTGCAGTAGATTACCGACTGAAGTACGATAGTTGAGGAGAAGTTGATATTTGCAGATAATTATATGGCAGTTCTAACCCTTTTCCTAATCCCAATGTCGGCCCTAGAGTTAGAAATTAGGGCTGATGTAGAGAATCGAAGGTTAAGAGCAAGTTCAGCATATATCATAACATGACATTGTATCCATCCATTAAACATCCGTATATTCCAGATGCCTCCCGCCGAATGAGTCATAATAGTTCCTGACTACCTTCATACGGTGTTGGTTTTAAGTACCCTGATCTTATTATGTTTTTCTCGTTGAGTTCATGTTTTGCAAAGAAACCTCCGTGTCCGTTTCGGTTATAAATCAGTTTTGTTCTAGAGAGCATGTACCTTTATAGTTCTATTTGCATATGAATGCATGACATTTCTTTGTTGGGAAGGCATTGTCAGGGGAAAGGCAGTCGAACAGACGATGGGGCTGATGCCGATTTGTAATACAGAGCTAGCCAGTGCAACTCGATGTATCGACCAAGAAGGGTTGGTTTCTACGGTAGTCTAAGTTAACGCTCATCACGTACCGCACGTGTATTTGTTTCGGTAGAAACCAACCCTTCTTGTTCTCGGGGTTTCAATTAATGTGCATACCGCCTTGTAATACAAACCAATAATAGCGATTTGAAACTATGATCGTTTGTTAAACAACTTTTGTCCTAAGTTGAATAAAATTCTGAGATTTTAATGCTTAATTGGCAAGGTAAAATCATGAGGTTTCGCAATCTTAATTTCACTTTATGTTATTTACTTTTTTGTTTAAAGTGAACTTCATCGGTACGTTTTCACTGCAAAAAGACTATAGGGAACAATTGTTCGATGTGCGCTGTCAGGGTGTTATAAAAATAATGTCTTGTGGGTACGATTCAACGCTTCCTTACGGTTTCCAGCCAATGAACATGTTTTGAAGCCATCACATAACATTTGATTCAGGTCTATTTAAGCAGCCGGTCTGCCTCGTCAATTAAAGCGTGTTCCAACACAGGTTGAGATGTTTCTTATCACTACATTGTCTATCACATATACCATTAATGAGTCACTTTAGCAGTTAACATTAGAGATTTGACTGACTACCTCTTGGGCTCTTATCCATGCAGACATACTTCATCAATACTCTAAATTTATCAAAACATTTATCAGGCACTTTGGTCATTAAGAGTAATTGTCCTCAACAGAATCTGTCGCAGGTTTATTGTCATGCAAATGTCCATGTCCATTACGACCATCACCTTCATTTCAAAAATCAATAATAGATGTTTCGATCCATTGTCCTCGCACATGAACTCACATACAGATTGTCACTTACAATTATTCCCCGGCGAAGGTGACGCTATTAGGTTGATCATGCCAGTGATCATATGCATGTACCAAAGATTAAGGCATGGATGTCCAACTACAAATTATACTTACGCTTATAAGTATTATTTGACTGGGAAAGTCACTTAATATTCACGTATGTGTTCACAAGGTCCATAAGTGGCAACATGCTTCAAAACATCTTCATTGCTACTCATATGTAGATAGCTCATGCGCGGTCAATATAGGATATTTGAAAACAACAAACTGGAATGTGAACTAATCTTAATAAATGTAAGTGAGTGTTAAGAATAACAAAATGGTTGTGATGTTACGACTCTGAGATACTTTTCCGACGTACCAGATGTTCCATTTGCATCATACTGAACACTACGTTCACATGGGTTGGCCTGTTCTGGTCGTAGGAGGGCCTCACAAGAACACTGTAGTTGCTGAACAAAGTGTTCAGTAGCCGGTGTACATCTTCTGCAGACTTCGTAACTGTAATACAATAGCAGTTCAAAAAACCAAAGTTATCAAATAAATATAGATACTCTATATTTCCTTCTCTGGCACCGGTGACAGGAAGGTTGGGAAATAGACCTTCCCGCTAAATAGGTGCAAGGTCCCGATCTACTAAGTGTTCGTAACGTTACGACCTAACGTAACTATTAACGTGCTATTATGTATATCATTTGCTTACGAATGACGTAGTGCTACGAACGCTTTGTGGATAGGGTTTGGAATACACATTTTGTTTGTTCCATGTTCAACACTGAAAGTCTATTTTCAACATGACTTCACGACCATCGCTGAGTGAGTGAGCTAGTTTAGTTTTACGCCGCACTCAACAGTATTCCAGCTATATGGCGGTGGTATGTAAATAATCCAATCTGAACCAGACAATGTCGTGATCAACAACATGAGCATCGATCTACGCAATTGGGATACGATCATATGTGTCAACCAAGTCAGCGAGCCTGATCACCCGATCCTGTTAGTCACCTCTTACGACAAGCATGGGTTACTGAACATCAATTCTAACCCGGATCTTCACGGGTCGACAGTCGGTGAAGTGCATAGTCCAAGTCGGCGATTCCCGTCCGAAGAGTTATTTACCTCAAGACGTATCTTCCTTTTCTGTATTGTATCTAAATACCTTTGTCTGTTATGACAAAACTAGCCTTCACAGAAAATTAATTTAGAAAAAGCAACATGCTTGTGCTGGTACCAAACAAGGCAGAAAATATTTTCTTGACATTATGTCTTAAATATGGACATGAATTTCGATGGAAAATATATTGTTTTAGGTAAATTGTCAAAAGCAAAATGACTGTTTAAATAATTATTGACGATGTAATTTTCTAAGTAAATAGTACACTCTTCAAATAAAGAAAGACATTGGTGCTTTTGAGAAAATTGGATGCATGTAGCTACGGCAAAAACAATACAAATTTGCTATTTCATTCCAAAACGTCATCTTTGTGTAATTGTAAACAGCTTCAGCGCCAAAACGCGGCAATTTTAATCTTTTCCATTGTTTTATAAGAAAGATTCGCCAAAACGTCACCAAGAAAGCATGCAAAGCAAAATGCTAGTAAGCAGAAAAGCATCCAGTATCGATCATTATAAAAAGGCAGACGTTGCGTTTTATTTTGTCATTTGTTTTTGCCTGAAGTCGTGTCTCGAATGCCTTAAGGCTGGGGAGTTGCAGTCTGAAGTTGCCCGACATTTCAACATTCATCAGAGCACCATATATCGCTTTTGGGATCGTTTCCTGCTGACAAATTCCGTCCAAGATCGCCCAAGAAGCGGTCGTCCAAGGGTTACCACCCGCTACTTCCGGGTTGCTCACTTACGTCATCGTCTTGCCACAGCCGTGAAGACTGGACAACGCATCCATGGTTGAGAAGAATTTCCGACCAAACTGTCAGGAATCGATTGCGTGAAGTGGAGATTCGACCAAGAAGGACAGTTGTCGCCCCTGTTTTGAGAGGCTTCAATTGGCACCATCGCATGTGGTGGTGTCGTAGAGCCCGGAACTGGAATTTTAGAAATTCGAGGCGAGTCTGGTTCAGTGATATATCACGATTTCTTCTTCACAAGAGATGGCAGACAGTGTGTTTACCGTCGCAGAAATGAGCGTTTTGCCTCCAATTGCATTCGACGGGTCGACAGATTCTGTGGAGACAGTGTCATGGTGTAGGTGGTTGAAATATCACACAGCACACAAAGATCTGATATAGTGGTGGTTAAAGGAAACTTGACAGCAAAGCGGTAAATCAACGGGGTCCTTGCACGTCACAAGCTTCAAATGGACCAACAGAGGGAGTTGTTTCAGCATGACCACGCTACTTCACATATGTAACATTATGACAAATTAGACTAGTTATGTAAAGCTGTAAGCAGGGACTATTTTCTGTAGCCGCATAGCATGCAACGGCGTAAGTATATGTTTCGCACTAGACATGTGCGCCCGAATGCAGTGGTGAATAAAAGTGTCAACTGATCCTTGGAAGATGTTGTCTATCTCCCGATACAACAACTACACATAAAACATGACATGGTGGCAGCTAGCGGATGACGAACGCCACGCGACATTGCTCATAAGCGACCAGGTTTACCAGTATTTAGGACTATGCCAAATCAGAAACCGGAGGGCCAGCCAGATCGTCTGCTAGTTATCGAGATGGCGACATGTGTATAACACACTGACAGTTAAGTACCAGTGGATTTGGTCAACCTGTGCATCAGCTTGGGTCTAAACTGACGGTATCATTATACTGTGCACCAAATAACTCTCTGAAAAGTAAATCACATGAATATGTATGTCAACTTTTTCCTGTGATAAACTCTGTCTGTCAGCGGGAACGAGATATCACGTGATCAACAAAATGGCGGCTCCCATGTTCCCAAAACAAGTTTCTCGAACCACTGAAGAACCTCAAATCTGGTAAAGATAAGGAAATTTCATCAAACATATTGACATAATTCATGATAAAACAACTCGCATATGATATTCATGATGTCAGAGGCAAATATCAGTCCGAGGTTAAACTGGAAGAGTGACGATCTAGCGGAAGCTTTTCGTTCGTTCAAACAACGTTGTCAGTTGTATTTCTCTGTGAAAGACACTAAGAAAGATAAACAAGTTGATCATATCTTGCTGTTTTCTGACGATGAAGGAATCAAAATGTTTAATTCATGGACATTGACTGGAGAAGAGAAAAAAGATCTAAAAGACATTTTTGACAAATTCGAATCACAAATAGAGCCAGCAGTCAACTACAGATTACACAGATTTCATCTTCAGAAATTCAGACAAAATTCAGGTGAAAGTATTGACAACTTCATGAGTAGATGTAAAAATCAGGCAGCTTAATGCAAATTCAGTGCAAATGAACTGAATGAAAGACTAATAGAACAATTAATTATTGGCACAAATATTCCCAGTCTGCAGAAGGAATTGCTGAGTAAAGATGATAATTTAACTGTTGAACAAGCCATGACTTGTGCACGTGCTGAAGAAGCTTCAATACATCATATGAGCCAATTGAAGGATGTACAGTTGCCACAAGCAGATGTTCATGCTATAAGACATCAGGGCACATGTCAGAAATGTGGTGGCTCTCACGGCAAAAGACAAAAGTGTCCAGCGATGGGATCCAAGTGTGACAACTGTGGTAAATATAACCATTGGAGGTCTGTATGTAGATCACAGAGACCGTCACGCCAGAATAGAGAGAGAGGGCGCAGCTATACACCTCGATCACAATCGAGAAATCGTCACCACAGAAGTAAATCACGTTTCCGTCAGAATGACATGAGGCAAGCACCTCGGCAACAGTCTATCAATTCCACAAATGAGGAGTTAGTTGACAACTTAAACACAACAAGCAGTTTCGAATCCCTGACATTCGAGACAATACAAGTTGACAGCACTGATACTGATGATCGAGATGAAGTATTCGTAGTCATTGACACTCAGGTAAATGGAAAACCTGCCAAGCTTAAGGCTAAGGTTGATACAGGAGCACAAGGTAATTTAATGCCCTTGAGAGTGTACAAGAAGATGTACCCAGAGAACATAGATAAGGATGGAAAGCCATTTGCAACGTGTGTCACTCAGTCACACACACTACTGAGAGCATATAATGGCAGTAAGATACCCCAACATGGCAAAATAACAATTCCTTGCAGTTACAACGGACACTCCAGAGAAGCAGTTTTTCACATAGCTGATGCAGAGGGACCAATCATTGTAGGCCTACCAACATCCAGAAACTTAAGGCTTCTAACAATACACTGTGAAGTGACAGAACCTATCACACCTGCAAAAGTCAGCAGTAAACAAGACCTTCTTGACACATACCCTGATCGTTTCACTGGCATTGGCAAGTTCAAGGGGGATTTCCATATAACTCTGGACCCGTCCGTAGCACCAGTTATTCACACTCCGCGGAAATGTCCAGTACACCTAAAGGATGATGTCCTAAATGAACTGCAGGAAATGGTGAGACTGGGTATTATCGCCAAGGTGTCGGAACCTACAAGTTGGGTATCAAGCATTGTGTACAGCCGTAAGTCCAATGGGAGACTACGCATCTGTCTAGATCCCAAGGATCTCAACCGTGCCATACAGAGGCCACACCACAAAACTCCCACACTTGAGGAGATAACACATGAATTTGCTGGTGCAACTGTATTCTCCAAGTTGGATGCCCGCCATGGGTACTGGTCTGTTGTGCTCGACCAAGAGTCAAGTCTCTTAACCACTTTCAATAGTCCATTTGGACGTTACAGATTTTGCCATCTCCCCTTCGGTCTGAGTCTTAGCCAAGACGTGTTTCAAGAAAGGATGGACCATATATTGGAGAAATGCCCAGGAACAACAGGAATATCAGACGATGTTGGTGTGTTTGGTAAGGCAGATAAAGAACATGATGAAACTCTACACAGGCTGATGACCGTAGCACGTGAAAACGGGTTAGTGTTGAACCCAACAAAGTGTGAAATAAAGGTAAAGAAGGTCAAGTTCTTTGGTCTCGAGTTTGATGAAAATGGAGTGCATCCTGACCCTGAGAAGGTCAAGGCCATCCAAGAAATTCAGCCACCCCAAGATGCAAAGAAGCTCCAAGAATTCCTTGGAATCGCAACAAATATGAGTCCATTCATTCCACACCTGTCACAGCTGACAGCTCCATTACGAGATCTGATCAGGAAGGACAGTGAGTATGTTTGGTCAGAATCTCACAAAGATTCATTTGATAGAATCAAGAATCTCATATGCAACAAGGTGACTCTGAACTATTTCGACCCAAAACGTGACACAGGTTTGAGAGTCGATGCATCCACTAGAGGCTTGGGTGCAGTGCTCCTGCAGGGGGATCAGCCAGTGGCATTTGCGTCCAAGTCGCTCAGCGAAACCGAAATGAGATACGCAAACATTGAACGAGAAATGTTGGCCGTTGTCTTCGGATGCGAAAGGTTCCATACTTACTTGTATGGAAAGAAGTTTGTAGTTGAATCGGATCACAAACCCCTTGAGATGATCCACCTGAAACATCTCTCAGCAGCACCACAGAGACTGCAGCGTATGCTGTTGAGAATTCAGCCATACAACTTGTCTATCAAATATCGCCCAGGTAAAGACATGCTCCTGGCCGATGCACTCTCTCGTTCACCATGGTGCGAAAATAAACGTATTGACTTTGAAGTGAGAGTGGACTTTGCACAATTCTCCCAAAAGAAAATTGAATCCTTAAAAATGGACACTGATAGAGACACAGAACTCCAGGTCCTGAAACAGTACATTAGTGATGGGTGGCCAGAACGTCAAAAGCAGGTAGCAGCCCCACTGAGACCATACTGGGCATACCGTGACGAAATGTCAATTGAAGATGGTATTCTGCTAAAGGGAGAATGTGTAGTTGTTCCCAAGACCATGAGGAATGAAATCCTCGATAGGCTGCATGACGCTCATCAAGGCATTGAGAAAACCCGACTTCGTGCAAAAACCTGTGTGTTTTGGCATAGGATGAATAGTGACATTGAAAATATGGTCAAACAGTGTCATGTGTGTCAGGAATTTCAGAACACACAAAACCATGAACCGTTACTACAACACGAATTGCCAACTAGGCCCTGGCAAGTTGTAGGTACTGACTTGTTTTATCAAGACGGTCAAGAATACCTCATAGTATGCGACTACTATGCTAAGTTTCCAATCGTGAGGAAAGTCTACGGAAATGGAGGAAGCAAAGCAGTTGTACATCTGTTAAAGCAGATATTCTCGGAACAAGGTGTGCCAGACACAGTGATAAGTGATAATGGGCCACACTATTCATCTGCAGTCTTCCACAATTTCGTCAGTTCGTGGGACTTCAGACACATCACATCAAGTCCGCACTATCCCCGCTCCAATGGATTCATTGAACGCCAAATCCAAACTGTAAAGAACGTGCTTACAAAATCGAAACACACCAACACAGATGCAGATATGGCATTACTGATATTGCGCACAGCTCCAATTGACCACCATCTTCAATCACCTTCTGAATTACTTAACTCCAGGAAGATGAGAGCTAATTTGCCGATGAGGGTGAGGAATCACATCAGTGACAAAGACGTTATCCATCAACATCTTGAAAAGCGTCAAGAGCTCCAGAAGCACTATCACGACAATAAAGCAGGCCATAAGCTAGCTTCTCTGTTACCTAATCAGAATGTTCGGTACCAGGATCACCGAACTGGTCGATGGTATCCAGCCGAGGTCACCAATGGTTGTGACACACCACGGTCATATCTCCTGGAAACAGGAGAGGGTTCATCAATACGACGAAACAGACATCAAATACGGGAGATTCCAGAAAGATCACAAGCGATACCTCCAAATGTTGAGCCTAAGTTTGTTGTTCCAGCTCAACCTCAGAGTGAAGCTCTACAAGTACCCAAATCAGCTCTGAAAACCAGCACTGACAGTAAACCAAAACATGTGAGCTTTGAGCCGAACACACAGCCCAGCTCAAAGGATACAACACAGAACTCTCCGGACAAATGAAGCAAAAACAGTAGGCCACTGATGCAACACACCAGAAGTGGCCGAGTAATCCAACGACCACAACGTTTCAGTGAATGACTGAACTCTCAAGTGCATTGTGTTAAATTGTGTTATCGTTGAAGATACACAGCAACTGACTGACTATTGATTACGATAGCATTGAGACATTGCTTTTACGTTGTTATATAGGTTAGGAAACCTGTTATCGATTTCTTTCTTTTTGGTTCAACAGACCTCTTTAAGTTGAAATTGTTATGAGTTACTCTGAAGGAATTTAGTATTTTAAACGTGGGGTACTAATAAGTTCAACTGAAGAAAAGTCCAGTTTCCAGCCTTTAAAAGAAAGGGGATGTAACATTATGACAAATTAGACTAGTTATGTAAAGCCGTAAGCAGGGACTATTTTCTGTAGCCGCATAGCATGCAACGGCGTAGGTATATGTTTCGCACTAGACATGTGCGCCCGAATGCAGTGGTGAATAAAAGTGTCAACTGATCCTTGGAAGATGTTGTCTATCTCCCGATACAACAACTACACATAAAACATGACAACATACAGCACGCGTCACGGTAAGGTGCCTTGCCAATTCTAACGTCAATGTCTTGCCATGGCCTTCCCGATGACCAGATCTAAACCCGAGAGAACACCTATGGGATGAACTCGATCGACGTGTACTTCAACGTCAAAACACGCCTCACTCATTTTATCTATTCAATTCAAACACAACTCAAAAAAATCCTTTCATCTTTTCTCTTCCTCTTCAAATTATCCTGTTTGTGAAATTGGTTCATACATGCATGCGCTGAGTATATTGTGAATTGGATTCCCAATGTAATGTGAACTGCTCTGATGTTACCGAAGTCCCTGTAGACATCTCATATACATAGAGATCATGATCCCGCTGAAAGCATTTAACATATCAATCAATAAAGAATAATTCCGAAAGTAAACATTGTGGTTGTGATGAGAAATTGATTTGGACGTGTTAACGTAAATATGTTATTTAAAATATTAAAAAGCGCTTAAATTGGCGCTTGACATTTTTGTAGGGGGCAGGTTAGGATTTCTGTCAGACTGATCGACCTGTTCTCACGTTTTTAACCAATACTTCCATCAATTTGTAATAATGCAGCTATTGGTCATATCAAATATACTATTACTGAAGTTATGCGATTTTAATTTAAATGAATTAAATGTATAAGATAAGAATAGAAACGACAATGTTTAAGTTTCAAATCAACGTTATAGTAGAATCAATTGAACGAGGCTATCTTGAGTTAAGTGATAAATAGATCAAAATACTATTACTAAGAAACCCTCAGAATGATTGCTCTGTTTGACATTAACAGCAGGAAACCGCCCATTCAATAATAATTAACTTGTATGAAAGAAAGCCATAATACGTTGTGAATGGAATATAATCATTTGCTAAATCCAAAACTTGTTCCCAAATAATGTCAACCCAAAATGGAATACCCCTACTTATTTTAAATAGTATGTATTCTTGACAAAGACATTACTCCTGACATTAATCTGAGCAGAGACAAAAAATATATTTCCCCGCCTTTGATATTCTTTGGGGTTTATTCTGTTGTGACATGGAATCCCCTTCCGCTGAGTTGTAAAAATGGCCTGTTTTATAAAATGTCCAATGCTATTTCTACTGGATTACAATGGGAGTTTCGAATTAAAGAAATGTTTTGAATTCGAAACTTACCTGCAAACTTGAACCAGGTAATGAGGACGATAAGCCTGCAAACAGATCGTATATCCATGATCTCCTTATCGTCTTGCCACTTTGATATCTTCTGTCGGTGTGAATATTCGCGCGCGGCGCCCCGGCCTGTTGGTACGGGCATGAATAATTGCTATGAGTTGGGAAAACATTTCAAATCAACCTAAAGTGTATTCATCTCAGTTTTTACTGACATTTTAGGTTATACTGACATCTCAGTTTTTACAGACATTTTAGGTTATACTGACATCATAATAAAAATGCGATTCATTAATTCTGCAGAGGATAGCTGGCTAGGGAGGTGTTGTGTTGTAAAAAGGCTACGGTGGATTAATCCCCAGAGGGTCGTTGGCTGGAGAGGTGTCACGTGAGCATAATATTGATGAACGAGAGTGTATTACTTACGGGCCACCACTGTGGTGCTGTGGGATTACTATTAATTGAACAAACGCTTACATTTTAAGCAAACGTATGACTCATTAACCTTTCATACCTTATTACTTTGTAGCCAGCTGTACCATGACGGATCCGCAGAATCATCAATTATCCATACGAGATGGTTGTCCTTCTGAGGGCACCATTGTGTCTGCATCTCTTTGGTATTGTGGTGATGGGATGGGGAGGTTGGAAACAGAGGTGCCGTGTCGGTAGTCATGGCTCCAGGATGATGTGTAAACAACGCTGCCTTTGCTCACTACGCGAAGAACACGTTACATGCATCTGAAGCTATTAACAAACAATGGCACTGGTGGCAAATTGGATGTGCACAGAGACAAGAAAGCATTGTCGAAATACAAAGAGAGCATTAGCCTGCATGTGCTTAAAGTGACGTGTGCGTTTGCGTGTGCATGTATGTCTAATTGGTACAAGTAATAGAAGGAGCAATTCCAGTATTCAAGTAATATTTGTGTGATAACGAAGGGTGTATTTTGGTGTTTACAGAAATACCCGTCCGTGCAGAGGGTGTTTGTCGTGAACACTTATCTTTATTCTAATGTTTGGTATTATCATTTATATTCCATAATCACGTAGTGTTTTAAGAATGTATTCTTTGTATTTCCACACCATGATTCCCGACTGCACAGCAATGGTGGGTCTTATCTGTTCTTGTTTTTAACAGGGCGGTGGGGTAGCCTAGTGGTTAAAGGGTTCTCTCGTCACGCCGAAGACCCGGGTTCGATTCCCCACATGGGTACAATGCGTGAAGCCCATTTCTGGTGTCCCCCGCCGTGATGTTGCAGGAATATTACTAAAAGCGGAGTAAAAACCAAACTCACTCACTCACTCACTCTTATTTTGAACAAAATGACATCAACACAAATTATTGATAATCCACATCATGCTATGCCAGACATGTTCACTTTAAGGAACACACTTGTACATTTGTAAGGTACTGTGCACGCACCTTACACTACCCCTCGCTCAAATCAATTACCCATTTCAGGTGTCCTCCGCCGTGATATTGCGAGAATATTCCTATAGCGGCGTAGAACAAAACTCACTCACTCATTTACTCAAATCAATTATCGATCAATAGGCAATTTTGTTTAAATCCCTAAACCATTGCTTATTCCAACCAGCGAAACGCTTGCTGTTTTAATAGTCTGGAGAAATGGAAGAGTCTAACAAATGTCAGAAGTAGGTCTCTTGACTAATCGAGGCGAAATGCATAAGTCATGTAAATATATCGATTAGACAATGGTAAGAGTGTTACCTTTCAACCTACACAGCCCACAAGAGAATGGCTTCTAAACACACAACAGTAATGTAATTATTCCTTTGTCAGTTGGTGTCAAGAACGGGGTTCCTTACTTTCTACTGAGGTTGCCAGTACGTTAATGCAGTCAGACACAGGTTCGTTGTGTTTGTATTTTACTCTGAGGGGGTTTTCTCCACAAACAGAAAAATGTTTTCAAAAACTGTTTGTACAGGGCGAGAGCCACATTCACAACTAACTAGCAGAGTTTTCACCTTATACAGTCAAAACATCTGGGGAACTCTCCCCTCACTTAAACATCATGTTTACAAGCGGGTGTTTTAGGTCTATTTTTATTGTGAAAAGTCAATGATTTGTTATGCTAGTCAGCTTGTTCACTGCCCTAAATATGGGTGATGTGTTAAGATGGAAGGGTATTTTATCTAGCATGTATGATAGCGAAGTGCTAGCTGTTTTAAACTTGGCCAGGTTAAGGGAATTCATGGATTCTGAACAGTACACGCTTCTTCGTATTCAGATTATAGAAGCATATAATGACTGAAGTAATGCCGAATATATCAAGCACCAACAACAATCTTATTGGCATATTGTAATTTATCAAATCAGATCGCCGACTATTTTCAGTGCGGGATAGGTCAAGGCAAATGTCGTCAATTAACGGCGAACGGGCACGGAACAGACCAGGCTCTGATAAATATATATGGGTAAACTAATTTTGGCTGTCAGGTTTAATTTGTAGGAAGGAAGGGCGACGTGCTTGCTGACAGGTACCATCATGTTTTGGTGCGTGGTGTTTGTGTACACAATAAAAAATAACTTTGGCAAGTTACAAATTCAGAGCTGGGAATCGCAAAGTCACGATATTTAGATCTTCCAAAGACGCTTCCTCTCACAGTACGACTTTGACTTTTGTTATATGTGTCTAATTTCTTAGATAGTTGATGATGTGTGCATTTTATAGCGGTATTCAAGTGAGCAACTTTGAATTCGTCCCGGAATGTACCAGATGCGTTGACTTCATTACACCCCTTTCCTTTCACATAGTGCCAAGACCTCAGCAATCAAAATAATGGCCTATACCTTGACGATACGTTTTTGCTTTACAAAACCCAGCCGTACTGCCAAGACTGTTACTGAACTGAATGATATTGTATCTGGTATACATCAGAATGATCATTGTATTAAGCTGGCGTGTTTTATTGGTTCGTTCTGATCCATACAGAATGGCATCTTCTACATCAGTACTATACTCAACTGATTATTATGATCATCCTGGAAAGGAATATTGATATCATGAAATAATATTTCCCCAAATCCCAGACCCGACACATCCCTCTCAGAATATTGCAAGGGGTGGTGGAGTAGCCTAATGGTTAAAACGTTCGCTCATCATGCAGAAAATCCGGGTTCGATTCCCTACATAGGTACAATGTTTCGTGATATTTGATGGAATATTGCTAAAGAATCGAAAAAACCATTCTCACTATGATATTTTAAGATCGGTCATGTGGCCGATTAAAGCTAGTGGTGAAGCACACAATCCCGAATACGCATTATGTTACAGTTATGTCATCTGTAAGTCGAATGTAGTCCATCGAATTGTAATACGAGCAAAAAACACTTTTCATGTCATAAGAAAGTTTCCACTGTACGACTCCGACTAGACCGTCAGCATGGGTTTATGAATAGCTGTGAAATATACTCATGCCAATAATGGTTGTCACCCCCTTCTATGTTTTTGATTGGAGAGGGGGTGATGGGGGGGGGGGGGTGACAACCATTATTGGCATGAGTATATTTTATGGTGTTCGGCATCCTGACGAACGAATGGTCCCCATATCGAACACATGGAAGGGCAAGTAAGATGTTCAATTGAAAATAAAACGTACAACTTTATGGATGACAACTTCTTGTTTATTGCATAGAGCGACGTTTTGATGTAGATTGTTCCATCGCTATCCCATCACAATGGATACATGTATCAATGTCAAAACAATAAAAGGTATTTTTTATAGTATTAATTATCATTTCAAAATTTGGGTTTTAAAAGAAATATATAGAATTGTTTGAAAACATTTGAATAATGTTTTGTAAATAGATCAATCATTATTTCATTGGTTATTGGCTGTATCATCAAAGGGGGTTGAAGTATTGTAAAATATTGCCCTCCTGAGAGTGTACGTAAGTCCCCAAATCTTCAAAGTAAATATAATATCTCCACTCGTTTTAATCGTAGATTATGTGTCATTTTAATGTATGGCTAGGTTTGTCTGAATCGCTAATAGCTGAACAGATCGTGTAAATATCGATTGGATCCATTTAGGAAGCAAATGTACCGTAAGTACCCATGGTGTCTAGTATGGTGATCTACATTCAGTTGTTAGCAACCTATAGCCTTTTTATATTGCACTGTATTGTATTGTATTGTATTGTATTGTATTGTTCTCTTTAATAATATCTAGTTTTACTTTAATATCTGTGATACTGGTAGTTTTATTGTTTCTTCCTCAACAGGCTTTTAATGTCTAATTGTATTGATCTATAATATAACAAGTAATTGTTTTTGTCACGATATGGCTGAATTATTGTCGATGTGACGATAAATATTAACTCACTCACTCACTCACTTACTTACTCACTCACTTACAAGCGAATAGTTTACTTTTTTTGACTCACCAACTTCTAGAATGCCGATCAAACCATTTGTTGAATTGAGTCCATCTGGCACAAGTCAAAATAGGACATTCCTCTCTCCTCTTGTAGATCATGAATCCTGTTAAGAGTAATTAAGGTGTTCATGTTAACCCTGCTCAAACACCAATTACAATGGAAAGAGCATGCACTTAATGGAAAAGGACGTCATATTTTGCAGCTTCATGACGAACTATGTTCTGTTTCCAAACATATTGCCTTTCTAGACAAATTACCCCAAATACCAAGTCCCTAATCTAGCACGGTTATGTCTCAATAGGCAAATCTAAAAGTCTTTGCCTCGTCAAGGGTACAATTTGGACTTCCTGTAACTGCGGTTTCCCGACCATCCAAATCATTCACAGAGACCTACTGTAATTGTTGTAGTAAATTAAGTCTCCAGGGGAGATTCCCCTGCGTTTTCCACACTTCCTTCTCAATTGTAGTCTCAACAGTAAAGAGTTTCTGAAGGACACATAGCTACCTTCAAACCAGATGCCAGACAAAAACAGCGTTTCTCCCCCTACATTCGCAATCGGTGTCATATGTGACCCATGAAGATTCGTGTCGTCAGCTACCCATGTTTGTCGTAAGAAGAGATTATTGTCACATACTAGAATAAAAATAAATATATCTATTATATGTCCCTGCAAATAGAAGCTAGAAGACCCTCGTGATCTCTATAAATAGCAGTGTCTGGGGGCAAAGATTAAAGGGACTATCGCTATGCTTATCAACGTGCACATTACCTGTGTAATTATAGTTAAATGTTCTTAATTGTTACCGAAGTGGTCATTTGGCGTCACGTTGCCGGCCAATGAGAGCTGGTGTTAATACAAATGTCATGTGAATGTTTACTGCACTGACATTATTAATTATTTTGTAATTACTTACCAATTAATGGCCATATTAACAGAGTCTGTTGCCTCTTTTGACGTGTACTTCATTTCGAAATGTCAATAGCCTTTGACATCTACGAAAACATTTGATTAATGGCCTATAGCATTCTGCACGTCACAGTGGACATTTCACAACAAATTCTGTAGTTGGGTTGATCCAGTTAAACATATACGACGTGGTAGCAACCCTTTCACCGCCTTGGCAATAATTTCAAGTTAAATGTTAGTTAATACAGATATTAACCTCCTTTGCTTCTATGTATCAAAATGTGATACATAGGTAAGAAACAGATACCGATTTATGATCCATCCAATACATCAGGATCCTCTGTGTTTTTCTCCTATAGTCATTTGTCTTTTCTCCTATACTCCTTTGTGTTTTTCATCTTCTTTTTTCATGATCGTTACAGTGGGATGGGAAGGGGATCCTATTGGAATACCATTTTCCTAGTTCGTATGTAAGTCCCCATGGTCCCTGGTATGGTGATCTACCTTCAGTTATTGGCGATTTATAACTCATTTTTATACTGTATTGTTTTTCCGCTATAGTTAAAACGTTTTAGATTTAATTACTAGTTTTACATACATATCTGTGATATTCTAGTTGTTTTACTGTCCTTCGTCGGCAGGTTTTCTATAATATACATATATTTCATTTCAATATCAAATGTTGTCATCACGATATGGCTGAAATATTGCCGATGTGACGTTAAATATTAACTCACTCACTAGTTCGTATGTTTGTTGTTAAACACTGCCCTCATTAGTGTTCAATAGTGAGAGTATACGATGACGTGCAGCATCCAAGTTAGCAAGCCTGACGCATCGATTCTGTTCATACTTACGAGTGAGTGAGTGAGTATGGTTTTACGCCGCTTTTAGCATTTGCTATTTGTATGGAATTGTAGTAAATAGAAAATGTATCCACTTCACGTGGTCCCCATTTTGCATCAATCCGTTGAACAACATTCCTGGCAATTGACCAGCCATCATTGTCAGTCATTCTACTCAGCATGTCTGCTACCTGATACTAACAACGAGGAATCCACTGCAAAGTCAAATGTACCTGGTTGACAGAACCTCTATTTCTATGACAGAACATAATTCAAATATGTGCATGGCTACATCTTGTATGTGCTGTCTCATGCTACCATTTTCAACAATGGATGCAATATTCTGATTATCAGTAAACCAAGTAATTCTGTGCTATTTCAAGGATGGCATGAAACTTTTCAAAACCCAATAAACCGCCTCAAGCTCTCTCAACGTGGAACTACGATTAGCCTCCTCGGCTGACTACTTGCCGTGCTCAGCTCTACACAGTACCCACCAAACCCTATATCACTGGCATTACTGAAAATCAACGTTGAACCAAGTTACTGAGTGATCAAAGCCCTGCTGTTCAACCTTGTGATGTTGCCTCTCAAAAAAACCGAACTGGTCCACACTCTGCCACGATAGATGAACCCTGCTATTCCATGATGGAACACACACAATATCAATACTTAGATATCTTGTCATAAGTTGACAAATGTGCTGTGCTGGTTGATTGTCGACTGGTAGAGTGACTGAAGAGGTAGGGACAATCTCGTCTAAAATGGCTGAATTCGCCACAGTTGAAACAGGCCCCACTCCTGGGACTTCTGACACGAAAGGGCTGACTGGTTGATTTAAACTTCTTGAAGTGGGACGCACGCTTTCACTCTGCGATCGCGACTCGATCGATTTGTTGAATACGGTTTACTGCAAAACTAGTTCCTCTGACAAATCTTTTTACAAGCCTTAGTGTCTGCCTTTTCAACCCTCTTATCATCATCAAAATTATCTGCTTAATCATTGGAAACATAGTTCCGGACAGTTTCCCACCTTTCATCGAAGGAATCGGCAGGTTGATAAGTGTATTTCTACGTTTTAACTTCTCCGTCATAAGTGAATCTTCGTCCGCTTCACTGTCTGCATTCTGAGTAAACAATCCAAAACGTCCGAGTTGAAGCTAAACTGTATCCTGTTTATATATCTTTTCTCCAGGTATACTCAGTATCAGTTTCTTAATGTCTTTCGATGTCTGGATAAACTCATTTTTCAACTTGGAAATGTTGTGGTCAATCGAGGGGCGGTGGGGAAGCCTAGTGGTTAAAGCGTTGGCTCGTCACCCCGAAGACCCGGGTTCGAATCCCCACATGGGTACAATGAGTGAAGCCCATTTCTGGTGTCCCCCGCCGTGATGTTGCTGGAATATTGCTAAAAGTGGCGTAAAACCAAACTCAGTCAGTATGGTCAATTGAACTTCGAATCTAATACATGACGATCCTTTGTGTTTTGCTTCTACAATCCTTAAGTGTGTTTTTCTCCTATAATCCTTTGTGTTTCTCTCCTACAATCCTTAAGTGTGTTTTGCTCCTACGATCCTTTGTGTTTTGCTCCTATAATCCTTTCTGTTTTGCTCCTACAATCCTTAAGTGTGTTTTTCTCCTATAATCCTTTGTGTTTTGCTCCTACAATCCTTTGTGGTTTTCATCTTCTTTTTTCATGATCGTTACCGTGGGACGGGAAGGAGATGCTATGGGAATAATACTCTCTTAGTTCTTAGTTCGTATGTTAACCCGTGACGCTCCGGCTTAGAATTGATCTTCAGTAGCCCATACTTGTCGTAAGAGGCGACTAACGGGATCGAGGTGATCAGGCTCACTGACTTATTTCAGACTTGTCATCGTATACTAATTGCGTAAATCGATGCTCATGTTGTTGATCACTGGACTGTCTGGTCCAGACTCGATTATTTACAGACTGTCACCATATAGCTGGAATATTGCTAGCTAGAGTGTGGCGTTAAACTAAACTCATTCACTCACTAATTCGTACGTTTGTTGTTAAACGCTGCACTAATTAGTATTCAATACTGAGTGTACATCTACGCATTTGGTATACGATGGCGTGCAGCAAGACTGACCAACGGATCAATTATGTTCATACTTACAAGAAGAATGAGTTCTTCAAGGCCAATTCTATACTGGAATGTCACGGGTTCTCTCTTAGGTGTGTACATCTCAAACTGATTTATACAGATGACCTTACATAAACACAGACACTCAACATTACAGACAAAATCCAAACAAGCAAATAAATACATTCAGACAGAACTCGCCAAAGAATTACATCGATGCATACTTATAGAACAGTATGTACAAAATGCAATGTGTTACGATAACAAGTGTGGTATATAGGCTCTTAATATCTTTTTACATCTAGGACTGTTCTCAGACGTAGAAATATATTATATGACACCATTCTGAAACCAGCCATTAGTCCATGTAATATCAAGCTAACAACTAGTTACATAAAACTAGTTAACATCAAAGTGCTAAAATTGTTCGTACTTCACAATAAGAAGAAGATAAGAGTCATTACATCAGCCATCAACATTTCAGATTGCCTCCTGACAACAGAGCGTTCGAGCAAAGGGAACGACAATAACATTGACGGATTTTCATCGAGAGATCATTAACGCTCCGAACACAAGTGTGATGATCGTGGTACACACTAATGAGAACCACATGCACAATTTGCCTAGGAATGTTGCAACCATCGCCCATGTCGTGACAGCTGTATCACTAATCTTCCTTGTCTCTGGAGCATTGCCCTCAACTTTTGAGTAATTAGATGCTGGTTTGTCATGCTGGACAATTTTGCAAAGCCATGTGGGAATTTTATCGTGAGAGGTAAGCCTGTGTAGAAACAATATTATGACGTTGCAGCACACCGTTAGCAGACTGATGAACACTTGGACAGATGTCAGTAGCACTGAAACATAATTGGAAAGACAATATTCAAAGTTCAAATTCAGTCATATGAAATCTACCAAATGTACTGTATTCTAGGATAAACGTATGCTTTCACAGATTAACAGGCAAAAACATATTCTATTTTTGTTTCCTGTTAATGGGATTGAAAAGATAATAAAAACAGACTCACTGTTTATCGAGCTTGATGACAGTCGACAATAAATATAATTGGTCTGATGCCATCTTTACAAAAAATTGAAGGTTTTCAAATATCATTGAATGTTAATAAATGTCATGTTTCAGTTCTCTTTCATCACGATCGTACAAATGAAATCATAAGGGAGAATATTTGCCTTACCGAACAATGATAGATGGTTTGACAGCTTTGGCAACGTTTCATAGATTGACGACATGAACACAAAGATGGAAAGTAGGGATGTGATGGCCAGAGTAGTCTTCTCCCCGCTGTCTGCAGGAACCAGGAAACTGAGAGGACTCAGCAAGGGGAATACCAGGAGCGGTGACACTAGACACAACCAGTAGAAGGTCGTCCTCCGCTTCAGAACAACGAAAAATGCTAAGCCTTCTAACGTTTCATTTTTTATGTACGTCATTGGAAAGAGAGTGTGTTGAACCCAAGAGTCTGTTATCTCAAACTCCCCATTTTCTGTGTATGCATCCAAAGAAATGCCTCTCGGTGAATAGATTTGTAGGCTAACGTTCGATGTCATCCACGAAGTTATATTCACAGAGCACTTCTGTGTGTCAAAAGGGAAGTATTTAATGTCAACAGCACATATAGTGGTAGCGATGAACCCAGGCTCCCATAACACATGACCACTAGACTCAATGACCACCAAACTGCTGCCATCTCCCATCTTCTTTTTGGATGTAATGCTGCAATGAAGAATGACAGAATTACTTACAGAGTTTAAATGATTGTGTCTGTTGTTTAACGCCACATTCAGCAATATTCCTCGTATATGACAGCGGTTCCATAAATAATCGAGTCTGGACCACACAATCCAGTGATCAACAGCATGAGCATCGATCTACGCAATGGCATGTGTTAACCAAGTCAGCGATCTTTGACAAACCCGATCAGGCCCTTTAGTCACCTCTTATGAAAAGCTTGGGTTCCTGAAAAACAATTCTAGCACGGATTTTCACGGGTGGAGTTTAAATCAACATTTATGGGTGAATGAACATAATCTGAATATACCTCCAGTAACGTCACTGTGAAAACCGAGAATTGAATTTCCAGATTGAATTCTTATGGGACGATTGAATTGATTACTTACTGAACGAGTGCTAATTTTCTGAAGCAACTTTTAGCAAAATGTAAAGTGATAACAAAGGTAAAAGAGCATCTCTATGGTTCTGTCCTGGACTTGTTTACACACATATGTAAACATTGCAAATATATCGTAATTCATTTCAGAATGATTCCCTTACTCATTGTTGATGACATAGTCTGGCTTCCATATTCTATTTTCGAGGACAGTGATGTATTTTACTCCATTATAGTCGGAAGAGTTCCACTGCAGAAATTCGTCAATCCAATTCTGAAATTAAGAGCCAAATATAATGAAGTAATTAACTACCTGAGATAAATATAAACGATAAAACCCTTTCCACATCCATAGCAAATCCGATTGTACAATTCTGACTGAATCATAAGTACGTGTTTACATGACGCCGCATTCAGGAGAATTACAGCAGTACGACGTGATCTGTAAACAATCAAATCTGGACCAGACAATGCAGTGATTGCCACCATGAAATGTGTTTATATACCGCAAAAATGTGACGTGTCCTGCCCCACCGGTCTCACATATGAAATTTGGGAAATTAGACATAGTCCACGCCCATCAAATTCGACCCACATATGTTTAACATGGTTCGGATCTGGCGACAATATTGACAAACCAGCGAGTCTGGTCATCCTATTCTGGTACTCGTCTACTAAAGCACGGGTCTATGACCCGAATGTTCACGCTGTTCGAGAATAATATATCAGTTCATTGAATGTCATTTGGGGCTTCAAAGTAAGTTCTTCATATCAGATCTCGACATAAAAGTGTTCACAGGTATGCACATAACAAACATTGTACAGAATTCATTGAGTAAGTGAGTTTAGTTTTACGCCGCACTCAGCAATATTCCACCTATATGGAAGCGGTCTGTAAATAATTGAGTCTGGACCAGACAATCCAGTGATCAACAGCATGAGCATCGATCTGCGCAATTGGGAACTGATGACATGTGTCAACCAAGTCAGCGAGCCTAACCACCTGATCCCGTTAGTCGCCTCTTACGACAAGCGTAGTTGCCTTTTGAGGCAAGCATGGGTTGCTGAAGACCTATTCTTCCCCGGATATCCACGGGTCCATTGTACAGAACTAAGCTGATGTCCTAAACATGCAAATAGCACTAAAAATCGGTAATAATTAAGATTAGGGTTGAGTGTTCAAATAAGCGTAACTACTTACGATGCTAAAATGGCCCAGAGACTTCATGGCCTGCTTCTTCATGTCCTAGAACATAAAGTGAGTGAATATAGCAATATTCCAGCAATATCACGGCGGGGGACACCACAAATGGCTTCATTGCAACTTTAGTGTTCTGCGTGACCAGCGGATGTTTTAACTGTTAAGAGTCATGTTTAGTTTGAACTCAAAAGCTTCAGCAAAACATGTTTATGACGAACACCTACACAACGAACTAATCACCATGACGAACGTCGTTGACTGTTCTATATATACTGAACATCACTGAAAACGCACAAGTCTAAAATTGTCCATATTTTCATCAAGATGGATTTCAGCATGACAATGATCAATGAATATAACTAACATGAAGTCGAAGGGCATGTCCAGTTAAAACAATGCTTTAGAAACAAATTCCTGTCCACAGTATGACTCTTAATTCCAAAAAGCATCAACATGCAGCTGCGCCATGAAAAAAGTGCGATTTTCATTCTGAAATCATACTGGCTGTGACATTAAAAGTGGGTGTATGAGAACCGATTCTCATTGCTTCACTAACGATTGTGAAACGAGGTCATAGATGCCGAGGTTAACACCTCACGAAAGAGAGCGTACACTAGGCATGATTCAGTTTGGCACCAGCAGCAGGGATATTGCTCGACAACTTGGACTTGGCCACTCCACCATCGTTAGGCTTCATAGACGACATCAGTAGACAGGCAGCACCCGTGACCTTCAATGACCTTGGGAACAACGTGTTACGACGCTCCATCAGGATCGCCATTTTGACGTTGTCCATATCAGTGATTGAACACTGCTGACTGCCAGGACTGCTGCACTAGTTCAAGGCTGAGGTGGGGGTCAGCAGCGCTGACTCCATGCGACGCCGTCTACACGCTTCAGGGCTCCATGCTCAACGTCCTTACGTTGGACCAATTCTGACTGACAGACACCGCAATGAGTGTATACAATGGGCTATCAGGCATTTTCAGTAAAGTTTACAACAATGGCATGGTGTGGTAGTCACTGACGAGTCACGTCTTCATCTACGTAATGCTGACGGCCGATTACGTGTTTGGCGTCGACGTGGTGAACGTTATGCTGATGAGTGTGTGGTTCAGACACACCTTTGGGTGGGGGGAGTGTCATGGTCTGGGGTGGAATAAATTACAGTCACGGGACTGCCTTCATGTCGGTCAAGGGAGAGTTAATGCCCATAATTACTGTGAGCATATTCTTCAGAATCACATCGTATCTGTCTTCAACCACCACCATGATGTCCATACTTTTCAACAGGACAACGCACGGGCACACACAACAAGACTTTACATGCAGTATCTGGCCCAGCAACACATCCAGGTTATTCATTGACCAGCACAGTCGCCAGATGTATCCCCCATGGGGCACTTGTGGGACGAACTTGGTCAAAGTCTTTCGCGGCGACAACAGATGCGAAACATCCGGGAACTTGAGGCTGCACTACCGCAGAAGTGGAATGCCATCCTCAAGAACTCTATTCGGACCCTTATTGACTCAATGAGGAGACGTTGAACTGCATGTGTCAATGGAAATAGCGGTCACACGCGATATTGACTTTTCGATATGACCCCACGTGTGTTTGATCCTTTCTGACTGTGGAACATTTCAATGAATGAGCGTCTTTTCTGTGTTGTTGTTTTTGTCAGTCGTCCATCTGTTATTATCCACTCAAAACAATATCAATTCCTTACACGTGCTTTTAATAATCTGAACTCTTATAAGTGGTGTGTTTTCAATGATGTTCAGTATTTTCTGATATGGCTACAGTGGAAAAAGAATCTTAATGATGTAAAAAAACCCAGCAGATAATCTGTAAACATGTAGCTAACATATTTCGTCAACCCTCATGTGCTAAACCTATGGTTTATTGTATTCCCTCCATTCCGAAAAGGAAATCGTTCATTGATCTTTGACATTTGATGTTCCAATTCTTCCCGATGTATGTACAACAACCAACACATGTACTTCTTGGGTAGCAACAAATTAAATGTTAAATACATATATTGTCACTGCAGCAGTTAACTGTTGCTGAGTCTAAGTCTTACTAAAAATTCCAGTTGCTTCATCCAGAAGACAGCATTTATCTTCGTCGGAATACTCTGGTTGTAGGCAGGCCGAACATGTACATCGTAGTCGGCAAATATTGTGGCTGTCAAGCGTTTTAGGTCCTTTGACGTGTATGTAGTTACTATAAAGAAATATAACACGTGTCAAAATAAAAAGTCATCACCTTGGCCGACAGGTGTTTGACTTTGTGTTTTCGATACAATTAAACTAAATCAATGAGTGAGAATGGTTTGACTCCGCTTACATAGTAATATTCCAGCAAGGGAAACCTAGAATGGGCGTGACACTCTGTACCTGTTATAAACGAAAGCTTTAGCCAAAGGCTACCCCACCGTCCCTACGCTGGAGGGGGCAGAATTGTATTCTATCTGACCTAAGTTACAGCAACAAACAGGTTACAGCAGCAATCTAGGTTACAGACCCACTCTGTGATAAAAGAACCTTGGTTACAGATACTTTGAATTGGTTACAGTTCAAGTAACGTATTGATTTACAGTTAATGTTTCCTGCTTACAGTTTCTCAAGTATCACACACACACAATTTGATATAGAGTTGCATCGTGTTACTGGTACAAAGTTACAGCTCGCTGGTTACAGCTACACATGCGATCAATACGTAGTGGCAATGTCACAAGTTACCGCTACGTCAGTGGTTACAGATCCACACAATGTTACAGAACGTTGCAGTTAGTCCAAGCGTGATGGTGTTACAGAACGTTGTAGTCAGCGTTATAGTGTTACAACTGCATTTGGCGTCAAACCATGGCAACACATGGAACACAAATTCATGAAAAGCGCTTACCTTCAGTACTGACACATAGCAGCATAAACCCGGTAAGCAAAGCACCAGCCATTATTGCGGTGTACTGTTGAAGTGCAGGAGTAGCGCACAGTCAGATCTGCCGAGCGTTCTGTTCCTCGTCTAACCCTCAAAGGGATGCTCACGTTAGCCTCAGCATGAATAACCCATCTTCATCGGTATGGCACTGGATGGCACAGTATATGCCTTGTGTAATCAATGGATCTGTCTTTATTAAAAACGACAAAATCCTATCTCGTAATCACTAGGCGTCTCCATTAAACGCCACTGTTGTACAATCTGGGTTATCATGAGCACGTCTTGAAAGTGAAACAATCCTGAAACAATCAGGTATACAATAGAACAGATATGAAACAGAATACCATGTTATAAACAGATATACACATAATACACTGGGGGTGGGGGTTACGATGTTATAACAGGTGGCCAGATGAAGTACTAGCTGTTCTGCATGGAAAGTAGTATGCCATACAGTACATGAAAGAACAAAACCAGAACTCAGCCCCATTACCGTTTGTCACATACATATGTATACATGCAGCGGAGCATGATAAAGCATTGTTCATTCATTCATTTATGCTTGATTTCATTCGCTCATTTACGCTGTACTTCATTTATTCATTACATGTATGCCTATGCCTGCTTAGCCTCACTTCGTATGTCAAAAATGAGACCTACTAATATCAATACCAATATCATGTGTCCGTTTAAACCTTATCCACATCACACTGAATCTATGATATATAGTTTGTTAACTTCTTTGAGTGGCATTTTAGAAGCTGGGAAGTACAAAACAGACGAACCTTATGGATAGCAACTTGCTTAACTTCGTCGAAGTAAAGAAGTTGTTATCGATAAACTTTATGGATATCAACTTTTGTAACTTCTCCGTAATAAAGAAGTTGCTATCAATAATTTTTTTCTATTCCATATAAGCAATAGCAGTTGCGAAGCCTCCCCACATGCATTCGTGGCAAGCATACAAATACAACCTATCTTCCTACAGTAAATGTAAGTTAAATTAATGGATAAAATTGCTAAATCGAATGGCTAAATACTAACCTTACAATATGATTCAAAGCTAAAAACTGTCCCTTCAAAAACTGTAAAGGCATACTTCTTCCACGGATGATCGTTGAGTGATTAGAGACTTCCCAAGGTGTCCTGAATACATCTTAGTTAAGAAGACAAACTGGCCATAAACACAAAATGTCTAGGGAAAGGAAATAAATCTTGACAACTGTATTACAAACAACACATGTAGTAAGCGTGTATCACATGTAGTACACAGTATATCAAGCTCAATATCCTATGGTGGGTCGCTTGCAGTGTGCTAGGGGCAAACTCGGCACTGGGTCTTAACACAAATATTCTCCCGCTCTCACAGCGAAAACTTCATGGGTTATCTACCGAAGACATTCCAGCACCTCTTTGACCTATGAGGGGCGAGTTGTTTGGATTCTTGGCGTTCAGCGACTGATGCTTCTTGCTGCGGTCTTACAGGGACGGGGCATTGGTACGTTTATTAACGTGTTAAGAACAGGTGCAGCGTTTAAGTAGGTAGAACATCTAAAAGTAACCCAGGGTGTACCGTCCTTGTAAAGACCAAACAAAACCAGAGGTGAATTTGTACAGAGAATTGGATTCGGTTGATGTTAATGTTTTGTGATGTTATTGGGTCAAACGAACATGGATGCGCAGAATAAAGGAGACTGATTGCTGATGCTCAGCACTTAAGTCGTATAGTGAGTGAGTTTAGTTTTACGCCACACTCAGCAATATTCCAGCTATAAGCGGTCTGTAAATAATCGAGTCTGGACCAGACAATCCAGTGATCAACAGCATGAGCATCGATCTGCGCAATTGGGAACCGATTTCATGTGTCAACCAAGTCAGCGAGAGCCTGACCACCAGATCCCGTTAGTCGCCTCTTACGACAAAGCATAGTCGCCTTTTGAGGGCAAGCATGGGTTGCTGAAGACCTATTCGACCCCGGATCTTCACGGGTCATTTTAAGTCGTATAAATTAACTTACCAGTGCAGTATGTTTTGCATGGGTGGGGGTTGCATGAGTAAACGATTCTTGTGCGGATATCAAAACAGGAGGAACTTAGATAGTGTTTTTACACGGCAATGCCGGATATGTTAATCACATTCGGTTAAACGTTCAAAGAAAACAACAGGTCCCCATGTCGTACTGTTGGCGCTATTTGGCATTTATTCCGTTATTAGATAATGATTAGAAGCATATATATAAACAAAGAAAGTGGTGAGATTACCGAGTGTACGGTAGTACTTATATAACAAGAAATTTCTGAAATAATTGCACAACACGGAAGATCCGTGATGTGTAATGTTTTCAGAAATTTCTTCTATATATATATATAAAAATATCGCCTTTTACTATATTGCACACACACACACGCACACGCACACATATATATATATATATATATATATATACACACACGCAGCACCACACATCACATGAAATCCTATTCTAAATTCATGCCATTTATGGTAATGAGCACTCAGTGATTATACAACATTTACGAAGAATCCATTTGGATGTACATATATCAATTATCTAAAGTGCCTCGTGAGGAATAAGGACGTGAGGACGTGTCCTGTGTAACAATGGAATCGTTTATCACATACGGTACAGGGTGTATCAAGTGCATCATACTGTATATTACAGGTTGATATGTACAGACTGTCGCGTGCAGTGTGCGCCGTGCGAACTCGGCGCTCGGTTCTAACACCCATATCTGCCTTGGGTCTAACACCCATATGTCCCTTGAGCAATACCTCATAAAAGATTAACGCAAGGTCACAGGTCAGCCATGCACTCACC